GAATGCCCCCCTGCTGGCCTGCCCCTGATTGCACCCCTCCACCCCAATAGTGGGCGGGGCTTGCTGGCCAACCTCCTGCCTCCTCCTCCCAACAGACCCAGCCCAGATCCACTCCAATTGGGGCCGGGCTGACCGGACCCCACCCATGCACGAATTCATGCACTGGGCCTCTAGTGTTAATATATAAGTGGGTTAAGTCCCCCAACTCACAAATTTATCTGCATTTGCCTGATGACACCTGACCTACTTTTCAGCATTTCAGGCAGCAGTGACTCAAAGCCCTTCCCAGTCTCAGCCCATAAAGTCCTCCTTTTGATAAACCGGACAAGCCTTTAGTGCCTCCCCAGGCACCTGGAAGGCACACTGGCACCAGGGGAGTGCTTGTAACACACGCAACGCACCAAGCGCATTCTGGGCGTTCCAGGCTTGAGTCACAACAGGGACACATCAGGCACTGTGATCGGGAGGGAGTCCTATTCAGGGAGAGTTGTTGGGAGGCAAGGAGAGGAACAGGTAGAGCGCTGTGGGCTCCTAAGGGTCTGGAAACAAGTGGACAAAAGAATCCAAGGCGATCCAGTCTGCACCAGGCACAGGGCAGCATTGTGGTATACAGTTCGTTCGACCTGGTCCTTTTCTGGTTGGGTCAGCCGGGCATGGGAATAGCAAGGCGAAGGTTCTGTCCGCCCAGAGCTTCCACTTCCGTGACGACTCGTCCTGGTAGACAGGGATGACAGTTACTTTAACACGCGCCACCTGCAAAGCTACAGCAGCTGCCTGCTCAGGAGCTCAGAGGAGACTTTGGGGAAAATACTGTGTCCAGAGATTTTATGTCTGCCCATCATTTCTTAAAATAGGGTAGGACATGCTTGGGGACAATAGAGGAATTGCTTTGTTCTAGAGAAGCACTGTCCAGGGTGGTGGCTGCTGTCCACGTGTGGCTATTTAAAATACATTAATTAACAAGAAATAAATTGAAAAATTCAGTCTTTAGCCAGATTTCAAGAGCTCAGCAGCCACGTGAGTCTCGTGACGACGCTACCAGACGGGCGAGGCGGTAGGACCTTTCCCCCGTGGCAGGCCGTCCCGCTGAGCAGCAGGGCTCCAGGGAACCTGCTCTTGTCTGTGACCACGGCAGAGACGTGTTCCTCGCGGGACGTCTGTGAATGCGCAGGTGACGCCTTTGGAAACTGCACTGAGCTGTTGGCCTAAACACAGAGGGGCCTTCAGAGGGAGAGTCGACAACGGAGAAGCGCATTCGGGAATCACTGGTTCAGGTAGGAGACAACACAACGGGTTTATGGGAAAGGGAAGGGGACAACGACATCCGTGGGAGGAAGGCACGTCCACTGGTCAGACAGCAGCAGCGATGCTACTTCTAAACAATGCTTTGCATTTTCAGTCCAGTAGTCAGAATGATTGCTTTCCTGGTACGTTTGCAAACAGTTCTTTGGGATACAATGTTGTCCTAGGTCCAGTCCAAAGGTTATTTTACCCCATTTTATTTTTATTTTCTTAAAATATATTCTTATTGATTTCAGAGAGGAAGGGAGAGGGAGAGAGAGATAGAAACATCAATGATGAGAATCACTGATTGGCTGCCTCCTGCATACCACACACTGGGGATCAAGCCTGCAACCCGGGCATGTGCCCTGACCAGGAATCGAACCGTGACCTGCTGGTTCATAGGTCGATGCTCAACCACTGAGTCATGCTGGCTGAGATTATGGTACTTTATTTATTTTTTCTAAATATATTTTTATTGATTTCAGAGAAGAAGGGAGAGGAAGAGAGAGATAGAAACATCAATGATGAGAGGGAATCATCGATCGGCTGCCTCTTGCACGTTGGACCGAGCCTGCAAGCCAGGCATGCACCCCTGACCAGAATTGAACCTGGGACCCTTCAGTCCACAGGCTGACGCTCCATCCACTGAGCCAAACCAGCCAGGCTATGGTACTTTATTATTATTATTATCATTATTATCATTATTCAATAGATAATTGGTTGGAGATGTGGCATCTGTCCTGTTGGACGTTCCCTGGGTTGAGGTGGAAGATGCACAGCGCGTTCCCCTGGCCTGGCAGCCCAGCTCCATCCTAAAGGGGCTCCGTTTACATTGTTGTTCACATAGTGATTTTGTCA